ATGTAAATTTGTAAATATACATTTAAGATAGATAAAATGATTGTACTACTGATTCTATTTGTTCTTGGAACAGTTAACATTCATAGGATTAGATCAATTTTGCATGTTTTTGTCTGGTAATATGATTAACACTTTTGAAGTTAACTATACAAAATAACAACCTTAGTTACCTTCCTGCCACTTTGTTTTGAAGGCTTATATCCTCATTATTTTGGCTTCTTGCTATTGTTATTTATTTGTCTGTTTCTTGTCTTTCTAATAATTTGTTTTCTTTTGTTTTTCCCTCTAATAAAGAAAGGATAAATATACATGTATATTCTTATACATGCCTAAAACTTTTCCTAAAGAGTTTACAATAGTTGATTTTATTACATGTGATGGTATGAACAGTTATTTTGAAGGAAATGAGACATTATGGTAGCCATTGCTGATTTTCTATCATCTTGTTTGAAGTTCAGTAATGCTTTTATTCTTTCTTTTGATTGGTTTTAGTCTGTTTTGTTTTGTTTGAATTCATTATGTTGAAGATATAAACAAAAATTACCTGAGTAATATTAAATCAGTTTGCAAGAAAGAAATTTCTAGGCAACAATCTCATCATCAACATTACCTGGAGACATGAAGTGCCTAAAGTAGAAACCAACTGACAATACAAGATGCATTCCTGTAATCTAACCTCTTCAGGATGCTGAAGCAAGAGGATTACAAGTTGGAGGCCAGCCTGGATTACATAATAACTTAGTGAGTCCCTCTCAGAATCAAAAAATCCAAAAGTGTGATCACAATACATGATACACACTGAAATTCTACCCCCAAAATATGTGAAACTAGGAGGGATGGCAGGGTAAGGGGGTGATGGGAAGAAATGATCAAGCATGTGATCTTCATGTACAAATCAGTAATCCATGTAATCAATATACACTTTAAAATGATTAAGAATTGAGAATGTAGCTTAGTGATAGAGTGTTTATTAGCATTCATGAGGCTAAATGTCCAGTCCCCTGTACTGAAAAAGAGAAAAGAAAGCCATAGGTAAACAATTTAAAAGGTCTCAGAGGTTTCAGGACATGCCCTATGGACTTGGGCCTGTGGACTTGGCAGCAGATGGTAGAAGAAGCTCATGATACAGGAGTGTTGTGTGCCTCATGGTCACCAAGGAAACAAAGAGGAAGCAAGAAGGTTCTGGCATCCTCATATCCCCTTCCAGGGTGCATCTCCAATATCTAACTTCCTCCCATGAGGCCTCAGTTCCAAAAGGTCCCATCACCTCCCCCAAACACCATAAGTTGAGGAACAAGCCTTAAATACACAGGACTTCGGGAGATATTCAAGATCTAAACTGTAGCGCTGGATTTATCAAGGGTTTTTTAAAGCCCCTTTTACCTTCTGTGTATCTCTTTTCCCAAAACTGCCTTACCAAGCAGTCTGAGTCTGTCCATTCCTTCTCCTGAACATTTTCTCTTGTAGCTTTACTTCATCCAATAATTTTGACTTTAAAAATCTCCTAGCTAGAGTCATCCACTGTTGTGGCTTGTGTTTAGATGGCCCCCCAAAGCCTACAATAGTCATAGGTGAGGCTCTTGCAGAAGCGGCTGCATCTAGAGTGTGTGATTGACTCATGGTACAGTGTTAGGATTAAGAGCACTAGGATTAAGGGTGGCTGATTACTAAACCAGTCCACTGATTGGTTTGGCATTGCCCTAATCCTGGCAGTCGGGGTACAATACAAAGAACAGAAAGAAGCTTGTCTTATCCCATCTCTTGCTTGCTTTGCCTGTCTTCTGCTTGCCATGAACTATTTTCTCCTCTGTAACACACCTCTGCCAAGCTATTCTGCCTGGAAGCCGGCTGATTATGAACTGAATCTTCTATACACTGAGATAAATAAAGCTTCCCCCCTTTACCTTTGGGTGTTGAGTGTATTGTCTCAGCAAAGATAAAAGTAACTAGGACACCCAGGAAGCTTCCTAGCTCTGGAAATGCATTGCGTAGGTCTCTTAAGATGCTGTCATACAGGTCCTGACCTCACCACAGTGCCCTGAGAATAATGCCTATCCCCGGTCCACACTTGTCTGCCGCTGCTTTCATGACTAACTAAGAGCAACAGGCAGGTCACAGGGAATCCTCCTTGCCAGCTTACCAGGATATCACATGTCCCTTCTTCATTACACTTTCCTTTAGTTGTTACGAGCTTTTGATAAGTCTATAGAGATCTGTGAGTGTTGACTTTGATGGTTTTCACTGGCTTCTTCTGTGTGTTTGTCAAAGTGACAGGTAGTGCTCTGGAGTTCTCTCCTCTGCCATTGTCGGTGGCATCTTGCTTCCCAATCTTTATTACAATCGCTTTGTTTTTTCTGTATCTTTAACTCCTTGACAGTTATTTTATTTCATTTTATTTCTTAAATGTAGCAGTTATAAATCTTGTTTCTATTTTTCATTTGTTACCCTCAAGACCTATATTAAAAACATTCTCCATTTAAATCTTAACCAAAGAAAGCTGATAATGTCATCCTTTTTGCACCCATAATTTTCGCCCAGCACTTCATTCCACATGTATATAAAGAACTTCCAAATTTTCACCTTGAATTGTCAGTGAGATCTTTTCTTAAGCATTCCTGGTACAAAATTTTACTTGTTCAATTTATTATTGCTATTACTTTTATCTCAGAACACCTTTCTTTGTTTTCCATTTCACTAGCTTACAAAAGGAGTTATTTCTCAGAAGTTCTAGGGCAGATAAACTTTCTGATTACTTGTATGACTGGAAATGCCCCTATGTTTCAGCATGTGAAATAACAGTTTGGCCATGTACATAATTTTTAATTCAAAATATTTTTGAATATTTTTTAAATTTCCGGCTGCTATTATTATTATTAGATTAGTATTTTAAATATATCAATACAGGCCATTTGCAGGCTGAGGGTAGAGAAAACACCATCAAGTAAGCCCAGTTTGGAAACCAGGACCATGCACAGGCTGCTGCTGGACTGGCATAGACAGATCCCGGCCTCTCCCCATGAGTCAGTGCCATTCATGGATCAGGGATAGAAACAGCAAAGGCACACCATCAAGCAAGCCCAGTCTGGGAACTAGCACCATGTGCGAGCTTCCCTCTGCCTGGAACAGCCCCTTCCGATGTGTGAGCTGGCAAACAAGAAGTACCAATGACCCCCACCACTCCCATAAGCCACAGGCTCATCCACACAAACACAGGGTGTGATGATAGCTATGCAGGTGAAATGAAAATGGATGCCTGTGGTGCTTTGGTGTTTCACTAACATTGCAGGTATATGGTCAGAGGTCTGATTATAGGTTCAGAGGACAGTGGTACGCAGTGTGACATCCAGGGGAGATCTTCTTCTGAGGGTGCAGCCACTGTTGATTCCCGATGGTCTTGTTGTGAAGTCCTATATCATTTCCATTGTTTTGTTGGGTTGTGTTTTATTCTCTTTTGCTTTGTTTGGTATGTCAAATCCAAGCAGCTATTTGAAAGATAGCAAGATATATTATGGTAGCCATTTTGAATTTACTGTAGACTTGTTTTGAAGTCCTTTATTGCATTCATTGTTTTGTTTTTATTGTTTCTATTCTGTTCTGTTTGATTTTCACCATATCCGAAGTTATCTACAGTTATTTTGAAGACATCAAAAGGTATTATGGTAACTATTATTGATTTTGTGATGTTTTGAACTCTTGCATCTTTTACACTGGTTTGTTTTGATTGGTTTTATTCTATTTTATTCTATTTTATCCTCTTTAAAATAAAAATTAAACATCTCAGTACATGAACTTTCTATAAATTATCACTTCATTCACTTCCTTGCTCATAATCTCTATAAGAAAAGAGTAACAACATAATGTGACTCATTTCTGTCTAGAGTGATTGAATTTTAGCCAAGCATGTTCCTATGCAGGATTTCCCATACATTTTTCTGAGAAGTCTGTAAGCAGCTTACAGCTTTCTTGTCTTATTTGATGCTTTTTTTTAAATTCTCTGAGACCATTGGCATTAAAAATGTCAGTTGGTTATTGATTTAAAATATGATATATCTCATATTTCTCTGGGGATATTAATAGTCTCATGTTTTTAAAAGAATATGATTCTCCAAATGATTTCAATTTTTTACTTAATCACTCTCATGTTTTTATGAAATGCTTGAAAATTGTTGATCATGTCTTTTCTATAAAAATTCAGATTCTGAACATTGTGCTAAGATAAAAGCCAGATACAAAAGGACAAAAATCCCATGGCCTCACAAATGTAGGAAACTGCACTTCTACACAAAGTGCTCTGAATGCTCTCTCCAATATAGCTATAAATTTATCGAAGGTACAAAAATTACCAACAGCTTGCTGGTGGTTGTAGCTGCCTAACATTCCAACAGGAAATGTCTTAAACTTAACAATAGAATGTGTTGTTCTGGTAAGTTTCATTACAATAATTTAATAAGGAAAGCAACACTCTCTCCTTTTTTACAAGAGTCATTCCTATCACTATTAAAACATATTAAATTCCTCCCATCCTTTAAAAATATCTCTGAAACTTACCTCAACTTCCATGTCAAGATCCAGCTCTCATTTATACCAACTTCTTAAAAAGGCTACCACTGTTCTCCATTTCTTCTACAAAAAGATATATCTGTGACACGTTCTTTGTGCAAATCCTCTGGTGATACTTTAAATCAACACAATTCTGGCCTCCTAAACAAGCACTAGGCACTGAAGTAGGCCCATTCATGAGAATTTGTCCTTGATTTACAGGAAGGATTGTGGAAAATCATTGAAAGTCATCTTATGAATCAATACTTTGTATAAGAGAGAAGGTCCATATTCCATGAAGAATTTTCTTTTTCTATGTATTTAGTATACTGGAGATCATTCTGAAAAGACTTGAAGGTACAAACGCATTACCTGTGCATTTGCAGTAGAAGGTTTCACAGACACCATCTATCTGAGTGGGTCATTGGGGGGGGCACTTTTAATGTATGCATTGCACTTACTTTTTTTTTCCCTGAGGATCTGCAGATTGGTACTCATCAAACTGCCTACGCAGTGCCTCTTCCAACAGTCTTAATTCCTGCAGAGTCCTGCAATGAGGGGTGGAGAGAAAACCTAAGCTGCCAATTCTCATCAGTCATCAAGCAATGGCTATGAAACACTTTCGAGGGCTCTACCTTATTGGGGAGGCATCGTGCTACTAGAGAGTCCATAGGAATAAAATGAGTATTGAGATCTCAAAAGGCATAAGGATCCAGGCAGAGCCTGGAGTTTGGGTTGTAATATTTCTCTTATTTGCACACAAATAATCTTTCAGTATATATACTGAAATGATTTTATGATTTTTGTGTGAGAGATGAACTTAATATGTCTCCTTCATCAGCCTTTTTTACAGGCTTTTTTACTCTTCTCCAGAGCCAACTGGAGGTGGAAAGGAAGGCCAAAAAATGCAGGTTCCATAATCAACAAAGGGATTTTTTTTCCTGTAAATATTGAATTTCCTGCTCACTTATCTTTGTTTTTACATTTTTAGCTTTAGCCTCTCTGGTTTTCTTATTATAAATTACTGAAAAGTTCAAAAGAGAAAAAGATGTATGAGAGAATAAAAATGTTCTCAAAGTACCAGACACCTATTACTCTATTGAAAAGTATATTTTCATTATCAGAAGGCAGGCATTAGGAATCATGGACTTAAAGAGTATAATGAGAATCCAGGATCTAACTCCAAACGTACTATAAATAAATCTAAATTCCAGCCTCAATTTTATCTTTTGTAGAGGACGCTTCATCTTAATTACAGGAGCTTAAAAAAAGAAAATTTTAAGATCATGGAATTTGAGGCTCTGAAAACAATTAGTTCTACCCTCCAAGTGTTTTTACCCACTGTGTTTGGGTTTCCCCCAACCTGTCTCTAGATATTATCAAATGTGTCCTGGATCTCAAACAAAATTGTTCTCGTTAAGAACTAACAGATGAGTCTTACTACAAATTGCACTACTGCTGATTAATTTAGTAGGAGACCAAAGAAAGCAAAATGTATCTATCTTAATACATACCAATTGCTACTGGCACTGGGAAACACTGTCATCAATAAGAATTCTGGGATCAGAGAAAGATGAACCAAATGCTCCAGTAAGATCCTCTGGCGATTGTCTGTCTATGGAAACATCAATTTGAATACCTATTCCCCACAAAAGTACCTACGCCAGAGCTAAGAAAATCAGTCAGAAGATCACAGTATATGATTTTAGCACAACTATAAGAAAAGATGCACTGAAGAAGGAACAATGTCTCTCATGCCTTGTCCTCCCAAACTCAGGCAAAGCAGCATGAAGAGCGACATCTTGACTGAGGGGAGGGAAAAGAGATTAGCAGATGCTTCAGTGTTGGAGCTCAGTACCAGGCCCATTACAATGAAACCTACACAGAGTTCCACATTCCCTATACCCAAGCTAATGCCATGGGCAGACTCTAGATCAGCAGTGGGGAACCAATGGCATGTGTGCCATGGCAGGCTGTTTGTATTATTGAACGCTCTAAAAGTTCACCATCACTGCCCTAAATTCACTTGAGCATCCAGAGGACACCCAAGGCTGCAGTGGAACAGACTTGTGTTCCCGCCCACATCACTTCCAGCTGGCTGCAATAGTCTAGGTCCATGAATGTACAACAGTAGCCCGTCCATGGCAGTATAGGCCTTTGTCCTGACTCTGTGGAATGTTGGTTTCAGTAGGCTGTGGGCTCTGGGTTTCACCCATTAAGTAGTGGTGGCCATAAGACTGCCAACCCCATATTTCTCTCAATAAAAAGCAGCACAGCAGAAAGAACATCTCTTTGACAAGGAAGAAGTGGGTGATAGGAGTGAGACACTACTTTGGAGCCCCAAGCCAGACACACCATAATGAGGTCCAGCACCAGGCAGAATTCTGTGGCACCTGGCCACAGGTCAATGACTCTGCACAAAGTGTTTGGGCCCTTCCCAGCCTCAGAGGAAGCTTGCGGACACATTGGTACAGACTATCTTCTTTGGGCACTTTCCAAGCCCATCCTGAACAACACTCTTGGGCTTCAGTTGTACTTTAGGCTTCAATTTCCCCCCTAGTGTTGAAATAGTGACAATACACCAACTATAGGTTTGCAGCAAAGGACTGAGGGTGCCATCCAGTGCTCAAACAGAGGTAGGGACCAAAGGTTCAGAGACGGAATAAACTTCCTGCTTAAAATTTCTCAAAGGACAGAGGCAAACAAAGCCAGAATACAAGGACTAAAACAAATGCCCACTCTTTCAATGCATAGATGTCATGTACTAACAAGCACAACATTTTTCAAACAACTATGCTTTCACCAAGTCAACTAATAAGGCACCAGAAATCAACCATAAAATTACTATGTGTGATCCCTTCGATAGAGAACATAAGAAACCCAGTGTATTCCAAGTAAACACATAACTTGGCAATTTATTGAAGAAACTTAATGGAGAAATTGAAACAATTTTTTGAAAATTAAGAGAAATCCTGGGGCTCTAAAATACAAAATGGAAATACAATTTATGGTAAATGCAGCATCACAAGTAACTGAAAATACACACTTTGTAATAAGTGATATTAGAAATGCAATAATAAGTTTAATGCATGGAATAAATAAGAATCTACACTTAAAGTCAAATAACAAAAAGGTAGAGAAAATATTTACCACTAAAATCAAAGGAAAAAAGGATAATCTTCTTGATATATAAAGAGACCTTTAAAAATAAAAAGGAAGAATATCAAAATCCAGGAAGAAAGTAGATAACACACATCAACATAAAATTCACTGGCCTTTGAAATAAGGAAAAGATAAAATCCATTTCTTAGATAAAGAGAAAGGCTCATTGAGACTGCACTGTGATATTATTTTCTATCTCCTAGCCTGCCAATATTTCCAAAGCTTGTCAGAAAACTCTGTGGGCAAAGATACATGAGCTAGTGATTCTCCTAGATAGCTGGTAAAAATCCAAACTAGTGCAAGCCAGAAGGATGAGAGTCTATGGTTAGGAAAATAGAATAGGCATTTATGATTTTAGCAATCTCAGTACCCTGTGCTGTAGGCCAACAATTATGTTAAAAGTATGTGACATTTGTAAAACCAAAAAATTATGACCCAGAAAAGTGGCACACATCTGTAATCTCTGCACTCAAGAGGCTGAAGCAGGAGGATGGTGAGTTCCAGGACAGACTGGGTTACATAGCAAGTGCAAGGCCAATCCAGACTATGAGCTGATGTCTAAAAATACTATTTAAAAGGGAGGAAAATAGTGTCCACCTACATCATCCAAAAGAGAAGGCAAATGAGCTATGTTAAGGGGTGATCAAAAATATGGCAAGTGTTTAAACTGAGAAATACTTTTGACAGTTAAAGATACATCACCAAGAATGATGGAAAGAATGTGCCCAAAGTGAGAGGAATGGTTTGAATATTTTGAAAGGGATTAATGGTATTGTGTTTTTTTACTGTAATCATTGTTTTTGTTTTCTTGAGACAAGGTCTCACTGTATAGTCCAGACTGGATTTGAACTCAGTATGTAGTCCAGGCTGGCCTTGAACTCTTAGCCATCCTCCTGCCTCAGCCTCCCCAGGGCTAGGACTACAGGCATGTGCCACCATTCCTGGCTTGCAGTAAAAATTTTAATGCAGATATTCATGTATTCTTTGATCACTCATCATTGATCAAACATTTACAACAATTTCTGCCAAATGAGAACATTGTGACATGTCTTCACACACCTCATTCACTGGATCTGGCACTGTGCAACTTCTGACTTTCCTTAAAGCCAAAGTAGCAATTAAAGGCAAATATTTTGAATTGACTCAAAAAGCAGAGGCAGCCACAACAGTAGAACCAAAGGTACTCTGAAAGGGGACTTCCAAGACTGCTTCAAAGAGTGCCAAGAATAATAGGCTGAGTAAAGCAAGGGGCAGTTTTTGGAGAGGGATTGATGGCAATGTGGTTTTTATATTAGAATAAAGATTTAAATTTAAGTAGTCACCGTACTGTTTTATAACACGGCCTATATCATACCATGTTTTAAACGTAGAAGTAGCAAAGCCTTTGTGATGTGAAAGAGACTCAATTATATTAAATGAAAGGTTAGATACAGTAAATTATCTTACATAACCTACAATGAACCTCAAGGTCTTAGAAAAATAAGAATAAACTGAACCCTAAACCAACAGAAGAAAAGAAATAATAAAAATCAGAGGTGAAATGAAGTGGAGACTAAAAAATCACACAAAAGATCAATAAAACAGTTTGTTCTTTGAAAAGATAAACAATGTTGGCAACCACTCAGCCAGAATAACTAAAAAAAGAGTAAAAAGAGCCAAATTAGTACAGCCAGAGGTGTATGTGTGTCAAGGGATGATCAAAAATATGGCAAATGTTTAAACTGAAAAATACTTATTCCTGTAAAAGACCTTTATTATATTAAAGTAAGTTTATTTATACCTACTTGGTTTATGTATATTTTCTTCTATGCTTACTTGGTGTATGTATATGATATGATATGAAATGTAATCCCCATGAAATTACTAATGACATTTCACAAAATTAAAATTAGAGTTATTAGAGTCTCCTTTGCATTTCCATGAAGTCTTTGTCTAGCCCTGGTATCTGAATGCGCTGGACTCACAGAATGAAGTAGGAAGTGTTCCCTTCACTTCCATTCTTTGAAGAATTGGAAAAGAATTTGTGTTAATACTTCTTTTCTTCTGAGGAAGGTTTAAAACTCCAGATCCAACTTCTTTATTTGCTATAATTCTATTTATATCTTATATTGAGTCAATTTTGGTAGTTGGTATGTTTTTAAGAAATTTTCCTCTGTATTTTATGTTTTCTTTTTATCTAGATTATTTAATTTGTTTTTATATAACTGTCCAAGTAATCACTTATAGTTTTTAATTACTATAAGACCAGTAATAATGTCACCATTTTAACTTCTGGTTTTAATAACCTGAGTCTTTTTTTTCAGTTTGCCTTATTAATCATTTTGTCAGCTCTGTTAATCTTTTCAAACCACCACTTGGTTCAGTTGATTCTATTACTTTCTATTCC